AGGCACACCTTAGTCTCTAGACTGACATCATTGCTTCTCAGGACTCTGAAAAGGTCCCTGACAGCAGATTTAACTAATGCAATTTGTCTTTGTTTTCTTGACTGCTGGTGCCAAGCGTGTTGATTGTGGAGATGAGCAAGCTGTAAGTTAATCATCTCACTCTCTTCTCCGTCTATCATGGTGCTGCCAGTCGGCCCAGCGATGAGGATCTTTGTCTTCTCTGATGTTGATTGTAGACTACAGTGCTTGACCTTCTGCAGCCAGCACTTCAGGTCTTCCTCAGCTTTATTTGTAAATTGTACCAAATTCATGTATGTATATGTATGGTTCCTGGCCACTAACCTATAGGCTGCTAATTTGGACATGCTCAGACGTTTGCTTCCATAGGATTACAGCCCAGAGCACATGGCGAACAGTTCTATGCTGTGACACATACAGCCCTAAGTCAGAAATTGGACTTGCTGGCAGTGGCTTTGGTTTTCAGTTCATGTACATATGTGAAGGAGTGCTGTTGGCACAGGGGTTAAGTGCTTGGTTGCTACGTGAAAAGTTGGGCATTGAAATTGGTCAGCCACTCTATGGGAAAAGACATGGCAATTTGCTTTCACCTTGGAAACCCCATAGAGAAGTTCTACTTGGTCCCTTAGCGCTGCCATGCGTCGGACTGTGTTTATGCACCTATAGATAGAAGCACTTTCTCCCTCTGAGGTGACATCTAAACATTCACAGCGTCTTCCTGCTCGTTGTGCGCTGCGACATGAAGACCTGCCGAGTCGGGGACACACACACCTTTACAGCTATAGGGATTTTCTTTATCTTCTGCCTGAGGATTACGACTTTCAATTGTGTCACTGCCTTCTGTACAAACCCAGTCAGAAATCAGGTCAAAAGTTGAAACAAGAGACCCCTTGTGAGTGTGAACAGAAGACCCTGAGGGAAGACAGCTCAGTCCTGACCCCATAGCCTCACCAGGTCACCAGTGTTTGTTCCCTCTCAGCTTGGGGTCAGCCAAGTATGACAAGAGTCAATGTGATGGACCCCAAGAACACTCAGTGGGAGAGGAAATTGGGGCCGTTACCCTCAGTGTGCAAAGATGGATACCGAGGGTCAGCTGTAGCCTGACCTAATGTCTCTGTGTGGGCAGGGCTGTTCCTGTCCCCCCTCAGATGGGTGGCCTTGGTGGTGAAGTGGTAGTGTCCTTGTGTACCCTGGAGTAGCTTCTGTACCCCCACACGCAGAACAGTGTCCCAGAGTCTGTTAACTGTGACCTTTTAGAAGCTGGTGTTCAAGCCTTTTTTCCAGTTTGCCTCTGGGTGAATTTGAACTACCAACCTTTCAGTTTGCTGTTAAGCCCTTAACGTTTTGTACCACCCTGAGACTCCTTGATTATACACCACGTGTTTTGCAAACACATGACCTGAACTAGCTAATTTCACAGGAGATCCAGCGACGACTCTGAGCTCATCCAGTCCTCCCTGGATGGGAAAAGCCAGGTCCCATGAGAAGGGTTGGCCCAAGACCATACAGCAAGTCAATAGGAAAACCAGCATCAGCGCTGGACGCCTGAGTTCCAGACCCTGTGGACCTCCCACTACCATTACCCACCTCTTGCCCAGATGGCTGTGCAGGCTTTGCCCAGAGATAGAGCAAGCCGTGGGACTCAAGGACCTCAGCTCAGGCTCCCCCATTACCTGCTCCTATCACCACTGCATCGTACTCAGACTTCAGGCGTCCCCCGACTCCTGAATGAGCATGCCTCCGGTGAGATACACGCAGGACCCGGCCGAGACCTCCGCCTCCAGCGGCCATTTCTGCAGGGCAGCAGGGGCCAGGAATTTGCTAGTGATCAGCTTTTTGTTCCGCCTCAAGCGGGGAGGAGCAGGGAGAAAGCAGGAAGAAGGCAGGAACTTCAGCCTGGCTTCCCGCGCTGGGCTCTGGGCCAAGGCCAAGAAACAGAAGTCGCTCTGTGCCCCACAGCTGGTGTCCACACAGGGCAGAGTCACCCTGGGAAGCTGCCCATTAACCAGGCATAAGTCAAGCCTCCAGGACTCTGGACAATGATTACTGAGCTAGTGACCGCGAGGCCCGTGCCAGGCGCTGTGCTGGCCAAGGGCCAGCAGCCTCTGGTTAATGCTACACACGACAGAAAAACCAAACCGGTCATCCTCAAGCCCATTCCGACTCACAGTGACCCCATGTGTTTCATAGTAGAACTGCGCTCCACAGGGTTTTCAAAGACCGATTTAGACAAGTAAATGTGCTTTCTGAGGCACCCTCGATGGATCCAAACTGCCAGCCTCTCGGTTAGGAGGCAAGTGCACCACTCAGAACTCTCCATGGCACAGGGCAAGAGTCAAGGTTTGGTGAGCGAGGCAGAGTCAGAACTGGGCTGACTGCATCCCACTAAGGAATCACATTCCTGGGGTGTGCTGGTGTGCTGGGGGCAGGGGGGCGGACTGGGAAGGAGACTGCAGCCAGACTCTGCCTGGAAGGGTACGAGGTGTCCCTGCTGTGGGGGGCAGGCAAGCTGATTCCCCTGTTGGAGTAATTCAGCTCCCTCTAAATGCCACAAAGCTTCCACTCAGGAGGCTAAATGATGCCGACGGGCCTGGGGAAGCTAACGAGTCTGTACTTCTTGGGACAGCTCTCTCCTGTCTTTGGCACCTTTCCTGTTTCCCAAGAATCTCCAAGGAAAGCTCTCATGGAAATATCTCCAGCTGAAGTTCTTTCTCACTGTCCTTTTGGCCTGTCTTAAACAAGGAGTCCCTTTTTACAGTGCCCATCAGTTAGGGTATCTATCCTCTTGGAGGGAAGACACACCCGGGAGCTGAAGTATGAGCGTGCTGTCACCTGTCAGCACTGCGGGTACCTGTCATGGGGTTGGGAGAGTGTATGGGAAAGCTGGCACCAAGGAGGACGGGCCCACGGCCGAGTGATCCACACACCCAGTGTGAGAGCTGCCCGGGCCTCTGTCCACTCTGCCTCAGTTTCCCCACACGTCACGCTGTAAAGAAGCTCCATTCAGGATGCTCACAGCCTAATGCTACTTTAATACTGGAAAATTAACAAAAACTAGTGGCATCAGTTCAACAAGTCGTATCACATCATACTGTTGTAAAAAAATTAAAGACAAAATGTCAGGCAACAAACCTGAGTGCCCCAAACCTATTTGGAGAGTTTATAAAGGATTTATTCCCCACTTGCTTTTCATTTTCAAATACCTTATTTATTTCATTTCCTGTTGCTGTAAATACACAGCAAAACAAATACCAGTTCAGTTTCTGCATACACAATTCAGTGGCCTTGATTATAATCTTAAGTAACCATTCCCATCTTCCTTTTTCTCCCCAAAAAGCTCACTCATCGCCATCAAGTATGAACTGACTCATTCCTGAGTCTCCACTGGGTTTTCAGAGGCTGTAAATCACACAGGATGAGGCTGCCCACTTTTTGCCTCACAGAATGACCGGTGGATTCAAACCACCAGAGAAGCAACACCTTCAGCTTAGTGGTTGCAACTCCCTCCCACTAGGCCACCAGAGAGTCCCCTGTATCTTCTCCAGGAGCCTAAATGTCCCAGCCAATCTTTGTCACCTGGAGCCCATGTAACTACAAGTATGCAAACTCACTGACTCACAGCATCCTTCCATAGGTTCCGATGCTGTAAATCACAACAGAATGCTGGTCATCTTCTGTTCTGGAGCCACTGGGGGATCTGAACTGCCTGAGACTTGAGGCCTTTGGGTTAGCAGTGAGTGCACCCCAGAGCCCAACAAGAAAGTTCTTAAAAGAGCTCCATGCTCCAGCTGATATTTTTTACTCATTAAACTATTGCTTGGTTTACAGAAGACTTCCTGGGATATTTTTAGCTTAAGGTTCAGTCGATGATCGAATATTATTCTATGTGCTCTTCTGTGTATCCACGGGTGTTGTTTTTTTAACTTCCGTGCATAAACCACACTGCTGAGGAAGAGAATCATCTCCGGTGTCAGTTCCTCGCTGCTACCTACTGAGGAAATTCGCCCCAGCTGTGGCTCCAGCACCTTCAGCACTTTTGTTCTCAAGATGAATAAATGCCCAGACGCCCCTAGGGGATGACAAGGGCATGTGCTCCGCTGCTGGGGTGGACTCCTGCTTCTGCGGGTCGCCTCTCCCCATTCCAGAAGCAGCCTCCCCTTCTCCAGCTTCAGTCCCCTATGATCTCTGCTCCTTGCATTCTTTTTTGAGCTAGGGATCACTGATAAGAGATGCTGTCCCCTTCGGGAGAGGGATGTTAAGATCATATGGAAGCCTGAGCCCCCGCAGGACCAGATGAATGAGGTTCTGGGGCCGGAGAACCACCACCGTGGGGCAGAACCACCAGGAACAAGGTGTGCGGGCTCCCATCAAGGCCAGAGCTGAGCAATAATAATAAAGTCACCCGGCAGCACAAGCAGCCTGGGCTTGAATAACAGCGCTAACCAACATTTACTGAGCCCCCACCAGGTACCTGGTGAGCCTCAAACACCCCGATGGGGTAGATTCTATCACTTTAACTGGGAGGAGACAGAGGAGAGATTAAGAAACTTTTCAAGGGGCTGAATACTGGAAGGGGCAAGAGTGGGATTCAACTCCAGACAGTGCAGCACCTTTCACGTGCCAGGCAGTAGCTTCCTGAGGGAGCGTGTTCCCCACTCGGTGAGCATCACGAGGGCCTCTTCAGACCCAAGGTGGCTGAGCCGGCTCTCCCCTCACAGCACTGCTGTTCTGAGGAGACAATGGGCTGTCCTCTTCCTTCACAGGGAAACCTTCAGGGCCCTGCTGGTTACTTCTCACGGAGTGTGGTCCAGGCACTTTAAGAAGTATTGTCCTGGGACTCATCACATCCTCGGGATGAGGCACCGGCCATGGGGAATGTTGGAGCGTGTGGGTGGGCATCAGCACAGGGGAGCGTGTGGGTGGGCATCAGCACAGGGGAGCGTGAGGGTCAGCACAGGGGAGCGTGAGGGTCCGTTGCCGGCCTAGAGCAGGGGGATGCGAGAGGCCTCCCACAGGCGCCGGGCCAGCTCGCTGGCCTGCTGCACCACCACGCCCGTGGGGATGACGGACAGGTGGAGGGCCAGCAGCTCGTAACACTTGACGGCCTCAGCTGGGTGGCTCTTGCTGTAGTAACGCAGGAGCTTCCTGGGGGAGAACGTGGGAAAATGAGATTCAAAAGCCAGGCTACCACATTCCTCCCAACGTGAGTGACCATTTCTGATATCAGATGAGCATCCTACGCTCCCATGGGCCCCAGAAAGGCCACCCAAGCCTTACCTGCCCCAAGGACCTAACCAGAGAAGTCTCAGTCCCAGGCCACTGTCCACCCTTGTGGGGTTTCAGTCCTCATACTAGGATCAGCTGAAGGGAGCAGAGTCCCAGCACAGGGATGTGGCCAAGCCAGTGGGACATTCTTCAAGGCTCAGCATGGAGGCTTTTAAATTCTGTCAAAGCTGTGCTAATAGTAGGTGGTCTGAATTGCGAATGAGCTTCCTGGTTGCTTCCTTTCTGAGGGTTTGACTGAGCTGTGAGGAGCCTCAGATGGGGTCCCTGGCCTCCTGGACTGGCCTCTCTGCTGGGAAAGCTTTTTCAGGGAAGTTGACACAAGTCACCCTGCTGGGGTGCACCCATGTTTGCAAAGGCCTTCTGGATTGGGGTTACCTGTAATAGTCTCCACCCAGCATGCCGATGGGAGCTGAGTCATCAGAAAGGACAGGTACCTCAATGATCTGCAGTTTGTGGCCCTGAGGAAGAGGGAAGAAAGTTGTGAGAATGGGGAGGCCATGCATATGATGGTGAGCCCGTAGAACTCAGGCAAAAACACTGACTAGGCCCTGTTGGGTGTGTGGTGCTTGGGATAGAGTGTCCCCTCTTTTTACCTTGTATTCTCATCTGTGAAGCCAGGAAACCTAGCAACAATGGGCTAAGTGTCAAGGGCCGTGCCTGGCACGTGGTATGTCCTCAACAAGCAGCAACCCCTATCACCCTAAATGGACTCAGAGCAGCTGCACGGGGGACGACTGGCTGGAAGGTGACCTGGGAGGTGTCCGGTAGAGTCTGAGAGAGCAAAGTCTTTTCAAAAGGCTCAACTATCTCTCTTGTTAACTGGTGTAAGACATAAGGTGATGCTGGCCATACCTCACGCCACACTCCGTTTTGAAAGAAATGTGAATTCTCATGGAGAACAGAGGAGAGGTGGAGTATTAAGACCTGCCAAGTATTTGCTGTGTGTCCAGCACCAGTGGACACCACACACACAAAGCAAGGAGGAGGTGCCCTCCGCTGTACTAATTAGCTCATCCACAGCTGTGCAGGCCCTGAGGGTGTGCTTGTATTCACGGCTGAACCTCTCCATCCTCACAGCTCTAATTCGTCTTCTCACTCCAAGGAAACTTCTAGCATTTCTGTGATAACACATCCCCGGCCCATGGGATATTCATAGCAATCAACAGAAAGGGTTATTGTTGTTAGGTGGTAGGAGCCTGAAGATCGGAAAGTTGATCTTGACTTCTGGTTTCATGAGTTCTGAGTCTTGGTCAGGACGTCTGACCCCGCCCTGAGTATCAGTGTCTCTCTCTGAAAAATGGGGACAGTTAACCATCATGGGAGGTTGGTGTGAAAATCCAATGAGAAGACAGATATTAAAGACCTCAATAACTATACAACATGGAAAAGATGGATGGACATTCTTAGGGTGAAGTGAAGGACAGTGTCATGGACTGAAATATGTGAACTTGGCTAGGTCATGACTCTCAGTGTGATGTGGCCTAGTGGCAAGAAGTTGAGCTGCAATCCTGAAAGCACACAGTTCGAGGCCACCAGCTGCTCCTTGGAAGAAGGATGGGCAGAAGGCATCTCCTTCCATGTGATCAACTGCCTCTGAAAACCTGGGTACACAACAATTACTAATCTTAACTTGAGTGATATCAGTAAGACCAGATTAGAGACAATTATATAATAATGCGATCACCCTGAGATGAGCTGAGATGCATTCAATCAGTCATAAGGGTTTTAGAGTGGAATGTGACACCTTGAGTTAGGGTCACGCCCTGACCTGAAGTAAGGAGAGTTTCCCTGTGGTGTGGCCTGCATCACTTTTTTGGCTTACAAGAGATAAAAGGAGAGTAAAGATAGCAGACAGTGAGAGGTTTCAGTACACCAAGAAAGAGGAGCCAGGAGTGGAGCGAGTCCTTCAGACCCAAGTTTCTGTGCTAGGAAACTCTGAAAACCATGAGAAGGAGAGAGGGGTGGGGGAAGAGTGAGGAGGGGAGAGGGAGAGAGAGAGGGGGTGAGAGACGGGGGGAGGGAGAGAGGGGGAAAGAGAGTCAGTCTTCCCCTAGAGTCAGGACCAGGAGACTGCCAGCCTCCTAAACTAGAAGAAAAAGAAATCTGTTAAAGTAAAAAAAATAAGAAAAAATCTATTAGCAGCACTATGCAACTAAGAGGGAGCCCTGGTGGGATGGCCTAGTAGGTAAAGAGTAGTCCTGCCAACTCAAAGGCACACAGTTCAAATCCATGAGCTGTATCACTGGAGAAAGATGACAGCCTTTGAAAACCTGCTAGAGGGTCAGCTATGAGTTGGCTCAATTGCGACGAGACGGGTGGATGAAATAACTAAGACAAGGGGCTTGCTTCCAGGGGGGAGGGGGTGAGAGAGAGCACGCAATAGAGCAGGGGACTCTCAGTGGAAGGGCAGGGATACAACGAGCAAGGAAGTGCTGGAATGTGGGCAAGAGAGGAGAAATCAGAAAGAGAAGAGGTAAGGGAGAAAACCTTGACTATTTGTTTACAATGAAGGTGAAGTGTAGAGAAAGAAGTACTGGGATGTGAGGCAAGAGACCTGAGCTATGCTTTCAGCCTCTCCTTGGGCAGCATGTCAACCGTTTTGCACCTTGGCTGAACAATGTGCTAGGCTTTATGCAGGAATTAATGGAGTAGTGCTTTACATGTGGTGTTGTTAGCCAAATCAGATTCAAATCCTGGGCATTCAGGAGGAGAGGGACACGCGCCCCCCATAAAGATGTGCTGTCTTGGAAACCCAGGGGAGGGAGGGGGTGACGGTTGCCATGAGTCAGAATTGGCCCGATGGCAGTGGGTTTGGATTTGGGGTGTAGGATTGAGAAGCCCCACTCACGAAGCATGTTTGAGTGGCCTTGTTCCCATGGTGCAGCCACTGATCTGCTCATAGGTCTGCCTGGATGCTGCCATGACAAATAAAGGCATGCTGGGTGGAGGGATCACCAAGTAAAGCTAGGTAGTCCACCTGAGAATGTTGTTGTTGTTATGTGCCGTCAAGTCGTTTCCAACTCATAGTGACCCTATGTACAACAGTCCTAAACCCTGCTCTATCCTGTGCCAATCTCATTGCCTCTGACACACCCATCTCGATCACCCCAGTCACTGAATCAATCCACCTCATAGATGGTCTTCCCCTTCTGCGCCGTCCCTCCACCCCCGCAAGCATGAAGTCCCTCTCCAAGGACCTCTCCCTCCTTACAACATGTCCAAAGTATGTCAGATGAAGCCTCAGAATCCTTGCCTCCAAGGAGCAGCCTGGTTTAACCCTCTCCAGGATGAATCTGTTTGTTTTCTTGGCAGTTGAGTTGCTATAATAAAGGATGCTTTAGGCAGAATATTAAATGATCCAAGAAGTATTAAAAGAAGATGGAAAGAATATACTGAGTCACTGTATCAAAAGGAACTGACAGGCACAGAATAATTTAATGAAATCACACATGAGCAAAAGCCTATGGTGATGAAGGAAGAAGTTCAAGCTGCTTTGAAGGAAATAGCAAAAAATAAGGCCCCAGGAATAGATAGTATACCAACTGACATATTTCAGCTAAAAGATGCTGCTCTGGATGTGCTGACTAAGTTGTGCCAAGAAATCTGGACAACAACCACTTGGCCAACTGATTGGAAGAGATCTATATTTGTTCTCATTCCAAAGAAGGGTGACCCAACAGAGTGTGGAAACTGTAAAACAATATCATTGATTTCACACGCAAGCAAGATTCTACTGAAGATTATCCAAAAATGACTGGGAACAGCACATCAGCAGAGAACTGACAAAAGTCCAAGCTGGGTTTAGAAGGGGTCGTGGTACTAGGGATATTGTAGCTGATGTTAGATGGATCTTAGCTGAAAGCAGGGAATACCAGAAGAATGTCTGTGTTTCATTGATTATGCAAAGGCGTTTGACTGTGTGGATCATAACAAACTGTGGCTGACTCTGAGAAGAATGGGAATCCCAGAACACTTGATCGTTCTAATGTGAAACCTATACTTGGACCAAGAGGCAGTTGTCAGAACACAAGGAAACACTGCATGTGGGAAAGGCGTACGCCAGGGATGTGTCCTATCTCCATAACTTTTCAACTTGTATGCAGAACAGATTATCCGGGAGGCTGAGCTCTATGGGGAGAAGTCAGGATTGGTGGAAGATCTGCGTTATGCAGATGACACAACCCTGCTTGCTGAAACTGAGGAGGACCTGAAATGCTTGCTGCAGAGGGTAAAGGACTGCAGCCTTCAGTATAGATTGAAGCTCAATGTCAAGAAGACAAAGATTCTCACCACTGGACCAATTGGCAGCATCAGGATGGATGGTGAAGAGATTGTGATTGGGTTGTTGTTTTGTTTTTTTTTAGATTGAGATTGTTAACAACTTTAGTCTGCTTGGCTCCATGGCACCAGTAGCCAGGAAATAAAAAAAAAAACGTATTGCGATGGGAAGTCTACTGTTAGGGACCTCTCCAGGGTACTGAAGAGCAATGATGTCACTCTGGAGACTAAGGTGTGTCTGATACAGGCCATGGTCTTTGCAATCACTTGTTATGCATCAGAGAGTTGGACAACGACTAAGGAGGATAGAAGGAGAATTGATGCCACCTGAGAATAAGACCTATGAATTCTGGCTCCCCGTCAGCCCTGTTTACCTGGCCGTCCTTCCGCCAGTGACAAGAAGCAGTGCAGAGATGATCTGATACAGCTCAGAAGACAGGCAGCCAAGAGTTAAAAGAAAGGAAAGCACTGGAGGTGTGTCTTGCCCAGGGTCCTGGAGGTACCCACCGTCTCATTCTCGAACCACAGGAAGTAGGAGCAGTAGAAGTCCCCCTCCCGGAACAGCAGCGTGGTGTAGCCTTTCTGGAGGTATCTGCGAGCATGCCCGATCAGAGACCAGACCTGCGGAGAGGAGAGGGAGAGCTCACGCCTGTCCCTGCAGCCGGCCTGCAGGAAGGCCCCGGCAGCGCTGCATTCACCTCCTGCACTGCATGATCAGAACAAGCCTCCAGATGCTTTCACCCAAGGCTCGTCTGGGTGCTCCACACCAGACTGCAAGTAGGCGCTGCCCTCAGCAGTATTAACCAGCTCGTCCACAACACACGGGTCATGAATGGAATGGCTTGTATTCACTTCTGAGCTTCCCCATCCTCACAGCTCTAGTTCATCTGACTATCCTCAATGTCAAGGTCAAAAGAACTTGCTAGCACTTGTCATAAACACATCCAGGCACCTGGGAGGAGCTGAGAGCAAAGGGAAGGAAGAAAACACCTGGAAAGGGAGCACCCCAAGGCTCAGGGTCGTTGTTGAGCACCATCGAGTCAGAACTGGCCCACAGCTTACCCTTCAGTGGGTTTTCAGAGGCAGTTACTCACACAGGGGGAGACTGCCCATTGTTCTCCCATGGAGCAGATGGTGGATTCGAACCGTGTGCATACGGGTTTGCAGCGCGGGTTTGCTCACAGTAGGAGCTAGAAACAAATGTTTACAGCAGGGATGGACAGATGGACTGCCCTCCAGAGAACCCACGGGAGGAAAAGCACGTGCCGAGCGGTTTTATATAACTTTAATGTGCTACGTGTGAGTCATAAATTAGTAACCAGTCAGGCCGGCCAGGAAATAGCCAAGGGCATTGTTAATCAACAGTAGAGGAGACAGAGGTATCCAGGATCACCTCCCGTTCCATGCCAGGTAGATGTTAGTGAAGTGTCTGAAGGCAGGGACAGCCTCAGTCAGGCCAGGGACGAGGTCCATACTAGAGGCCTGTGGTGACTCAGGAGGAGTCTTGGATCCTTCACATGACCTCTGGCCTCGTGCAGGGCCTGTCTGTGATGTCTGCAGGAAGGCAGGAGGGACTGCTGGGGCTTTGGCCCTGTCCCAAGGGCTAGATGAAGGCGGAAGAGTGCTCTCACCTAAAAGCTTAATGGATGGGAAACTGCATCCCACCAATCTGATCTCAAGGTAATATCTATTTAAATCTGCAACAGGTACAAGGGTTTGCAAGACTTTTCAGGGAAGCAATCTGACAACATGCATTAATAATCCTGAAAACATTCCTCCCTTCTGACTTTAGTAATTCCATTTCGGGGAATCTGTAGTGAGGAAATAATCAGAGATGAGGACAAAGATGTATGCGTGAAGGTGTGTGCTGTGGAATTATTCATCACAGTGAAAGCCTGGAGACAAGGCTGTGTCCAACACTGGGGAATGGTTAAGTGGATTATGCTACATTCACCTGATGGACTATTAGGGGGCTGTTAAAAATCATGTTTATAAAGAATTAATGACATAAGGAAATGCATGATATAGTGGGAGGTGAAGATGTGGTAAATACAACTGCCGGTGCAGAATTATTTCAGCTACAGAAAACTATGCACAAAAGCGAAGTGGGGTGCGGGGGCAGGGGAACGAACCTAGATGACAGTGCCGGTGACCTGGAGAAGGGGAGATGAGGCTGGTGAAGAGGATGGGATCAGTAGGTGGTCCATGAGCATGACTGCCTTGTGTACCGTGTACTGTGCTATACGCTTTCTCATGTCCCATCTGCTGGGCCGTGAAGAGGGCTCGGCAGCGGAGGGGGTTACCTTGGTTTTGATGAAGGCAGCCAGGGGTCCTTTGCCCAACTCTGAAGAAGTCTTCTCGCTGATGCTGAGGGAAGGAGCCACCATCTGCCCGGTGGTGCGGTCCACGTAGATGAAATGCACCAAGCCTGGGAAGTCCTCTAGGTAGGTGACGTTTGAGTTAAAGTGCACACACAGCCGGGAGGCAGGATGGGGGAAGCTCTGCCTTGTTTCAGGCTGCCAGCCCCTCCTAGGCAGTGGGGTCAGAAGTGCCACACTTGCCCTTCACATGGGGTTCTGTTCCACCCAGCCTTCCAGCCTCCCTGTTCTCGCTGCACCTCCCCACTTCCCAGCCTTGACAAGTCCTAAGGCTCAGCTACAACAGGGCCTTGACATTTATGCACTTAACACAGGCCCTTCTGGACCCTGTAGTAATTCGGGATGAGCCTGAATCATGTACACACTGAAGGTGACGTGACAGGAGAGATATGCAGCTAATAATGAGTGGGCCCAGAACGCCGGCTACTTAACCAGCACAATGTGTTCACCACCGCCCTGCATCTCGAGATGATAGGAAGCTTCCATCTGAAGGAGGAGCATGTGGAAGGCTAGCAGCTTATGGCTGGGAGGCCCCTGGCAGCTGTTTCACTGTCCTATTGAACATACATCTCTTAGGGGACTTGAACCTTTCAGACACTTGAATATAAGAAAAGTGGCTTAATAGAAAGTGCCATGGAAAAATTAGTATTTAATAAAACGAGTGTGCTATTCTAACAGGGTCAAATAAGCTTGGAAATGGTTTTACAGGCAGGGACATGCATATTTCCTGCAGGACCTCTCACAGGCTCGGCATATGCACAGCACTGCTCTAGGAAGGACCACAGAAAGCCCACCACTGTGCCCCACACACTATGTCTGTTATCCTGTCGCTTGGGATGCTGGCATTAAAGATCTCCAAGACTTCCGTGGATGACCTCTGGGACACCAGGCACTTCTGGCATTTCACGCTTGAAGCGCTCCTATAGACAAGGTTCCCAGGACACCGTCTTCTATTTATTTCCTTATAAAAGACATAGAGGTGGTGGAGCATAAATTCTCCCCCTCCCAAGCCCTGAGGTTTGTCATAGAGGGCAGGTGGAAGGGCCTATTCTGGATGCGACTGGGGTCCAGGGGGCAGGATATGACACCATGGTGATGTTCCGCTGGCTTTTCACCAACAAGAAGTCCTTCCAGTCCGCTAGCTTTTCTCTGCCAAGACAAGCAGGGTAAGCACAGGCCACCCTGGGCCCATCACAGGCTGCTCAGGGCCGCGTGCCACTTACTGCATGAGCCTCTGGGCTTGGTCCTGCAGCTGTGGGGGCAGCTGGGGGCCCCCGCGGCCGGGCGCTGTGCTCAGGAAGCTGACGCGGTAGATGGTACACAGCTGCAGCTTCACCTTGCGGCACGCCTGGAGCAGCCTGGCTCGGGGGACGAGGGGGTCAGTCGGAGGAGGCCTGGAGGGGCACCTGTGCCTACCTGATCCTGTACCATGGGGCAGAGCTGCACAAACCCCGCTGGCCTGCGTGTGCCTGGAAGCAGCTCCCACTCTTCCCAGCGTGGACTCCACGTGTGGAGAATCATCTCCTCCAACCTCACCATTTAACGGAAAAGAAGGGGAGCGTGGGTCTCGCTCCTGCAGCACTGGATCCTGACACCTGTGCCTCTGGTCCCTGCTGTTCCCAGGCCCCAAGACCGGGCCCTCAGCTCCCCACGGCCTCTCCTCTGGAACCTTCCCTCCTCCTTGGCCAGGGGAGACATGGGTGTTTCTGGGCATCTGCCCTTCTGTCTAAAGGCCACACCACTTGTCCTCAGGGCTACTACTTACTCCCAGGACGATCCTGGCTCACTTCTGGAGAAGGCCTTCGTCTTGAACTCCAGCCAGGTGCTCTGTAAGGACAGGTGACAAGGTGGCTTCCTGACAATGCTCACGGTGTGGCCCGTTTTCATGCCAGGCTGACCAGGCACCAGCAGCTCCAGTGTTGAGGCTCAGTGTGAGGCTGCCTCAGGTCGGTCCTTGCTGGTCCCCTGCAGGCCGACCAGCACCCTGCCCACCACAGCACTCAGCAGACGGGCCACGCCCACTGCTCTGGATAACAGAGTATTCCTGCGTGCCCAGTGCTGTGCTGTCTAGAGGCAGACCTGACGTCAGGGTACCAAGCAGGTGCCTCTGGATGGGGCAAGCAGGAGGCCGGGGTTGGGACGCAGCAGGCAGCGGATGCTGCTGTCGACCTTAGGGACAGCATCATGGTGCAAGAGCTCCTCAGAGCGTCAGAACGCCGCCTCCTGATGGGCGCGGCCCTGCAAGACTGAGCTGCCTGCCCCTCTGATCCTTCTGTTTCTCTCAGACCAGCCTCGACTGCAGCCACGTGAACTCCTAGTTCCTCAAATAGATCCCAGTCCCGTCAGATGCTCAACACAGCCCGCAGCTGCTCTCTGGACTGTGTGGGGCCCTGCTGTCTGGAGAACGGCTCCTGGTTCATCTCCTCACTGAGCTCCTGGCGCTGGAGCCCAGCCCTGCCTCTGTGAGCCCCCACACCTCCACAGGTGGGTCACTGGGATCAGGTGTGGTGGATGGATCACTGGCCTGGGGCCAGAGACACAATTCAGGTTCTGAGTAACCGCCGCTAAGTCGGGATTTATCTAATCCTGTCTCCTTATTGACAATATGGCAACAGCAATGCGCTTGTCTGCTAACCTGAAGGCAAGAGGTTTGAACCCAACCAGTGGTATCGCAGAGGAAAAATGTGGTCATGTGTCCCTAAGGGTTACAGGGGAAAAAACCCTGGGGAGCAGTTCTACTCTAACATGTGGGGTCATCAAGAGTAGGAAGTGACCAGATGGCACGACCAACCACATATGTGAAGTACCCTGAGTCAGAATCGACTTGTAGCTGACCCTCCAGCAGGATTTCAGAGGCTGTAAATTGCATGGAAGAATACTGCCTATATTTTTCCCAAGGAGCAGCTGGTACATTTGAACTGTCAACTTCTGGTTTGTGGCACAAATCCTTACCCAACTGGCCACCAATAGCACATAAGGTTTTGTTAATAGCCCTTCATGATGTGGAGAGTAGGTTAAGAAATCAGTGGTACCTGGAACTTCTGGCCCATCATCTGGTAGACCAGCACACCTTCGGCCATCCCTGTCTCTTCTCCCAGGTGGGCATGCTGAAGGACTGGGTCTCACCTGGATCTCCTGGCCCCCTCGATTCTTGACGAACTTGTCCATCCTCTGGCGCAGGTCGGCCATGACGGGGTGGGACCGCAGGGCAGCTCCAGGCCCCTGTCCCTCCTTCAGCTTCTTCTCCAACAGGGAAAATCCGTCTAGTAGCTGGTATAGGACTAGGGCCAGGGGGGCTCCGGGGCTCTGGGGAGAAAGCACAGGGCTGCTGGGACGAGGGCAGCTGGCGGAGCAAGTGCTTAGGTCATGGGATCACCAGGGCAGGGCGAGGGCCCATTACCTTGGTCAGGAGGACCATGTTGATGCCTGGCCACAGGGGCAGGCAGTACAGGGTGTGGGGCACCAAGGGGCAGTAGCTATCTTTTATGGTGGCATCCAGGAAAATCCTCCTAGGGCCGGATACTGATGAAGAGTGAGGGATTAGTGTCTGCAGAGTGTCTTCAGCCACCTACAAGGAAAAAGGGAGGGGTGGTCAGGAGTGGTGAGCAGGGAAGCACGGGCTGCCTGACCTCCCCTCCAAGCCAACTCCACCCAGCAGCCCCTGTTCTGTCCTCCCTGTGGACCATGAAGGAATACAGGATCTCTGGACTAAAAGTTGACTTTGGTAAACTTTGGTGGCCTAGTGATAGGGGTTGTGCTGCTAATGCAACAGCAGGAGGCTTCAATTTATCTCCTGCTCCACAGGAAAAAGACGGGCAATCTCGTCCTATATGACTTACAAACTGAAAACCCGCTGCAGAGTCAGCTTTGAGTTGGGACGGACTTGACCGCACAGACCACCACTGTCACCCTGACCTCAGTCACTACACAGTTCTGACCCCTGAGCAGCCCCAGGTCTGCGTCTGCTGCTGTCTCTCTCCCTCAGAGTCAGGAGGGGATGCCACGTGGGTGAGGGTCTAGTAACTGGGAACACAGACAACGGGGTGTGGGAAGAGGAGACACCTTCAATGAGATGAAGGTGTTTAAAGTTAACTAATGCTCTGTCATTTCAGTCACTCTCAGAACATAACTGCTGACCATTCACACTTCCCAGGTGGGCACATGGTGACTAAAACAAGCAAGACAGAAACAATCTTCAGAAGGAAACTTCAGAGAATTAAGGGTATTTTTATGGATGGCACAAACCTTTCTATGCAAGGATATTACTCAAGTATCATGTATAATAGTGAAAAACTGGAAATAATGTACAAGTCAGTTCTGGAAAGGTGGTAATGGGAAAACATTTTTAATAAAAGTGAATTTTAAGGAGCTCTGGTAGTTAAGGCATTCAGAGGCTAGGCAAAAGGTCAGTAGTTCTAACCCACCAGCCACTCGAAGAGAGGAAGATGAGGTAATCTACTTGGGTAAGTTTACAGCTTCAGAACCCTGTGGGCATTTCTGTCCTGTCCTGTGGGGTCATGGGAATCAAAACTGATGGAATGGCAGTGGACTTTCGGTTTTTAAACGAATTTCACTATGATCCATAAAGGGAGTTCAGGAAGCCTAGTGGCAATAAGCTGTGCTGCTATCCCAAAGGCATGTGGTTCGAGGCCACCCGCTGCTTCGCGAGAGGACGGGCAATCTCCTTCTGTTTGATTAACTGCCTCTGAAAACCCGCCGGAGGCTCAGCTATGGGTCAATTCTCACTCTACGGTACACAACAACAACAACAACAACAGCAACAAAAGGGTACACAGAGATAAATATAAAAACAAAAAATCATAGGATAAAATATCAGAAGGAAATTCCCAGAATATTCATAGCAGTTAACATGTGGGGTGGGACTGGATGGGATTTTTATTCTGTTCTCCACACGTTCTTGTACATACATTTGTGGGTTGTTGGGTTTTTTTTAACACGTTTTCTTATTTACAAAAACGTTAAAATTTATGCTAGACTTTCCACTCCTAATGAGCGAGGAGGATAGGCCTGACCAGAGTTGAGGCTCAGCTCCTAGGCGCGTGTAGCTCACCCTCACAATGTCTGCTAACAATGGCCAGCTCTGAGGGCACCAGGAAGGATGGCCCAGTGGGGCCTCCTGGAGGCGGAGTCCTTGTAACACAGTTCCTGCAGAAGCTTCTCAGACCAGCCTCCTGTCCCCCAGGGAGCACTCACCTGAATCTGGGCAGCATCAGTGGGTGGGGTGCCTCCCTCCAGCCAGACAGTGCTACCTGCAGGCCACAGACAATGGCAATGTAAGTAGTGGGGCCTCAGGAAGGGAGGGGTGGAGGTAGAAGCTCCAGACAGGAGAAGAAGCCTTTTGGTGTGCGAAGGTGCAGGGTGCCTTCTGCTCACTCTACACCCCCCTCCGCTGGTGAGAGCTAAAAATGTCTGCAGAACAGCCATGCGCAAAGCATCCTGGATCTCGGGAGGAGATGCTTCCTGAGCCAGGTCTACAGATAGAATCCATACCATCACCCGATTCTTGGCCTCTCAATTCTTTCAGGTTCTTCTCTGGTCATAACACCAGCTGTTGTTGAGCTACTGCAGAGTGGCTGGTGGGTTCTAACTGCTGACCTGCTGGTCGGCAGCCCAACACGTTCATCCTGCCCTCAGGAGGAAAACAGAGTCTACGTGCCCCCCCCCCCCATTAATGGGCTCAGTCAACAAACTTTGACTAAGCATCTACTACGTGCTGGGAATTGTGCTAGACTTCCTTCCAACTACAGCTCCCGTACACCCACTGAATGCCCTACGCATCTGAAATACTATATGCTTATAATATTCTCTCTTCTATTCTGTGGCAGATAACCATCATTTAGAACTGTGCTTCTCCAGAGAAATGTGCTCCTGAATTACACATGGACGAGTGCTGCTCTCGCCATTCCTAAGCTGTGAGCTGCATGCTGTGGAATGGTATTACTTACAGGCGAGGCAGCGGAAGCTAACCGCCAAGAGACAGGAGGGCGAGGGCAGGAGGAGCCGAGGGGGAGTAGTAAGAAGTTCAGAGCTCATCCAAATGCACCGTGTCCTGGGCTCATGCAGCGCTCCAAGAATGGAAGAAAGCTATCAGCTAGCAAATATGTTGTTGTTACGTGCCACTGAGCTGACTTATGACTCACAGTGACCCTAAAAAGAACACATCTGACCCTTGTCCTATCCTGTGCCATCCTCTCCGTCTCTGATAGCTACAGAGCCCAGTGTTCGTCACTGTGTCAGTCTATCTTGTTGAAGGTCTTCCTCTCTCTCTGAGCCTCCACCTTTCCCAGCATGAGGTCTTTTCCCGAGGACTGGTCCTTCCTGACAACAAGCGCGAAGTATGTGAGATGACGTTTCCCCCTCCGTGCCTCTAAGGAGAATCCTGGGTGTGCTTTGTACAAGACATGTATTTGTTTGTCCTTCCGGCAGTCCATGGGATATTCAGTACTCCTCCAACCCAACACCAAGGCATCAACTCTTTCTGTCATCCCTATTCATTGTCCAACTCTTGTATGCATTGAAAGTAACCAAAAAGACTATGATTTGGATCAGGTGCAACTTAGTCTTTAAAATGTCAGAGATCCTGGGCTCCCATGAGCCCATCCAAGGACTGCGAGTTAACACATCTAGCCCTGTGGTTTTCCACTTCAGATGCACAAAGAGCATTACCGGGGAGTCTGTTATAACTCTTGACGCCCAGGTCACACTACAGGCCAATTAAGTCAAACACTCAAGGCCACTCAAGGTCCAGCTTCCATACAGTCAGCGTCCGGGATACAAAAGACCAACTCAGGGATGATGTGAACTTGCCCACTGAAGTCATGCAAATTTGCTCTCACTTTGAAATGACTGACTGAACCTACTCCTGCTTGCAACAAATTATTCATCACAATCATCTTCACTCGCCGCACGCGCAGCTTTTAAATAATTCAAAAAGCTTTGATCCCTTTTCTTGTGCTAAAACCCACTCCCACTGAGTCAGTTCAGACCAAGAGCGACCCTCCACTGGGTTTCCAAGACTGTAAGTCTTCGTGGGAGGACACTGCCCATCTTTCTACCTTGGAGAGGCTCATGGATTTGAACTGCTAACCTTTGGATTAGCAGCCTGGTATGTTACAAACTACACCACCAGAGTCCCGTTTCTTGCTCTCACGTAAGGTTATCTAAGAACTGTATGCTTCTGTTCTGACTTAACTATAGATGTTAGCTAAAGACACAACATAGGTATTTGGTTCATGACCGGGAGACCAGCTGAGTTTTAAAACTTGTCAGGTTAGTCTAACTACTGCTCTAACACAAACCAGAGCCAAAAAAATAAAAAGGCAACTCATACACCCTAGTCGCATGCTGGACCCACGGTGAGGAACCTGCAGAAGCATCCACACGTGGGCCTCGGGTCCAGTGATTCTGGCTTGGTCTGGCTGACACTCTCCGGGGGATACCGGTCTGCAGCCAGAGCTGAACACATGGTTTAAGAAAGCTGCATGCTGAATTCCTCCCGGGATGCCAGCCTTCTGCCTTCTTCCTTCTCTTAGATGACACAGACCATGTAATCTGTCTTTTTTCCCAAGCAGCTCAGTGCTAACTGTCATGCTCATTTCACAGTGACTACAGCCGCCTTGGCTTATCTACGTCACAGCAGAGACTGAAGACAGAACAGAAGTCACTAAGAGATGGAGCTGACTCAATGGCACTGAACAAGGACAATCTGCTGAAATGTTGTCTAAAGAATATTGCCTATTCCTTACTGTGGTTGTTTGTTAAGAACATCATACATATTTTGCTTTCTTGTATCATTTAACCACACACTTTAGGGGAAAAAAAGGTAAGGTGCAAACAAACTGTAACCCACTGTGGAGGTGATTTTGACTCATAGCAGAAGTGTGCCATGGGGTCTCTGGGGATGTAAAACTTCACAGCAGACCAGACTGCCTCGTCCTTCCCTCACAGAGTGGGTTCGAACTGAAGACCTTTTGGTTAGCAGCTGAGCTTAACCACTGTGTCACTGGGGTCCTTAGGTTGTAAAAGAAATACTAGGTAATTATTTTTTCAGACGTTCTTCAAATGATTATTACTTAATTTTACCTGATTATTAACTAGTTCCAAAAAAGAAAGATGAGGCAGAGAACGGACAGGTGACAGATGATTTTAAAATGAAATCCATCTGTCATAAAAAGCCTCAGGAAACATCCCTGTGGTCTTGACAGCCTTTGTGTTCAAGCAGGAGCTAGCTGGCAAACAGAGAGGAAGCTGGAGTGGGCATTCTATTTGTGTGGAGAAATAAAATCCTGAAGAAGTTGGGTACCAAAGTGTGGAGGTCCCCTGAGCCCCAAGATAGAATCCCAGGGCTGTTGCCTGGCATGAAGTCCCCCTGGCCTCCTGCACACAGGCCTCACCTGAGCTCTTCTCATCAGGGGAAGGAGCTGGAGTAAAGTATTCCTCCGGGAGGGAGAAGCTGTCTGTCTCCTGCAGGAAGAAGGGGGCAGGGCACGCTGAGGGCTTGGAGAGGATGCCCAGCTGGGTCCAGGCTGGACCCTGCTTTCTGGGGAAAGACTCAGCCACAGGGGAGGCAGACCAGGCCCCCAGGGCTCAGCACACACACCGTCTCTGCAGAACTGCCCCTGGCCGGGGGTGTGGAGCCCGGACTCCTGGGCTGTTGCACAGGAATGTTCTGGCTGCTCTGGGGCCTTGGTGGGAAAGGCTGTGGCCACAGGAGGAAAGATCATTAGATACTTTGGGCCTGACCCTCCCAGCATTCCACAGGACAGCCTTCAGAGCAGAGCTGGGCAGACTCCGCCTGCACCCAACCCTCATCTCCACTGTGCAGCCCTGTGTGGAGCCTCAGTTTCTCCAAGGTGCCTCAGCTCCAGGTGGCTAGTCTTTTCCCAGAACCACTGAGACTCCAGAAACTTTGGAATCCCAGAAACTGGGATTTCTGAGTCCACTACGATGACAAAGATGACAATGGTGATGATGGGAGCTCACGACAGATGTTCCCAACACCTTAAGCACTGTCAGGCCCAATATGAACTATCCTTTGAAATAACCTGGAGCCTCAGGAGGCAGATGCTGTCATCCTCACTGTACCACTGTCAAGACAACTGAGGCCTAGAGAGGCAAAGACCTGCCCAGATCCCACTGCTGGCTAAGAGGGAAGTGGGGTTTCAAACCCCAGATCTGCACCTTTACTCCACGATACCATCTGTATTCACACTGGAATTCAGAGGGGAAAAGTGCTCCCACCCTCACACTCCCAGGACTGCAAGGTGGAAAGCACAGCCCACAGGCAGCCTGCCCTCCGCTGTCCAGGCTGCTCTCTGAGCCACCTCCCTCTCGGCTTTCCCTTGCCCTTGGGCTTCCCTCGGGAGTCCCCCAAGACCTGAGTGTCATCAGCCTCAGTCGCACTCTCGTTGGGGTAAAGGTCTTGCACCAGGAGGATGAGAGCCAGAAGGTCTGCAGGGCGCAGTGAGCTGGCACCATGGCTGCAAAGACAGAATGGACGTAAGGCAGCAGGTGATGGTGACACCATGCCCTGAGGCGACAGTGGTCCAGGAGCAGGGAGGCCTTCGACTGCAAGGCATTTGCAAATATCTCAGTCAATGCAATCATTTTTTGAAGAAACAGCAGGTATAACTAGAATTAAATCATCAATTTTTAAAAATAAAATTTCATGTGTTAAAAAAAGAAAGCAGTATCTACAGGAAGTAACAAGGAACCAGTAATAGCATACAAGGAAGTTCTCCTAAACTTAGGCTGACAGTGTTCCAGAAAGAAGCACTTCAGAGGAAGGGAGAGAGCCGAAAGGGTGCGAAGAGCTGGAGAATCCAGTGAGGCTTCGTAGAGGAGATGGGTGCCGAGGTGTCCCTGGTGGGAAGGCAGTGGCTTCAGGGGTAGAGGAGACAGGAGTGCGGGAGAAGGCAGAGGGCCTCCAGCCACCGTGTACCGGGCCTCAGCTCACCTGGAGTAGAAGGCCAGCAGCTTGGTGTGCACCAGCAGGAAGGCGTGCAGGGCCTCCTCGCCTGCCCGCTCGGGGCTGGAGTTGACAGCCTGGATGACGTGTCGCTCCAGCGCCTCGATGCACAGCTCACAGAGCTGGGGGTGGATCAGCCGCTCCACGGCCTGGCCATGGGGCAGGAAAGGGAAGCCACAGATGTCTCTGACCACCCTCTCCCCAATGCAAGGCCTAGACTGGTGAGCATACGCAATCCATATGAGCTCATACTATGTGCCACACAGTGGGGACAATGGGGACCAGAGACTAAGATGACAGGGTCCCCCACCTTCCTGGTGCTTATAGTCTGCTCTCTGTACTTAAGTGGACGAGACAGACATGGTGCAAGGAAGCAGACACAATAACCACTGCCTGTCATAAGTGCTAAGAGTAATCTCGACAGTATGGCTCACCTCCAAGTGTGGCCTCTGGTCCGACATAATCAGCATTATTTAGGACCTTATCAGAAAAGCAAATTCTAGAGCTCTCTCCCCAGACCTACTGTCGAGGAACACAGAGTCTTCCAGGTGATTTTGAATCATGCTGGAGGGTAAGATCCACTGCTGCAGAGAACTGGTAATTGCCTAGATACTGAGCAGGGAACTCTGGTGGCCTAGTGGATAAAGAGTTGTGCTGACAACCCAAAGATAGGCAGTTCAAATCTACTAGCTGCTCTGCAGGAGAAAGATGGGCAATAGCCTCTTGTGAGATTTATAGCTCTGGAAGACCTGCTGGAGGACCAGCTATGAGCTGGCTCTGACTCAAGGGGGATTTTTTTTTGTTTCAGCACAAGTATTTGTACTCTTGACAACCTAGCCTTTAGAGCTGTTTATTTTCCACTCTAGTTTCAGTTCAGTGTATTTTTTTTTAATTTTTTATTTCCTGGAGCCAATGGCAGGGTTGAGGGAGCTATCTTCAGGGACTTCCATCACTTACTGACAGCCCGCTCCCCCAGCCCCTAGTGCCCCTAAATGCACTGGGAAGTCTGTTTTAACCTGGATCGAGCTGTCTGATTAGGGAAGGATTCATCGTACACAAAGCACCATGTGACCAGAAACAGCGAATCTCATCAGGACCTAAAATGTGGTCTAAACACTGGGCGTCCCATGACCTGACACTTCTGTGATGTAAGGTTCCATCCCCACAGTTGTCCAGCGGTCACCTCCACCGCGAAGCACTGCTCTTGCTCCCGCAGGCGGCCAGCAGTGGACAGCAGGCTCTGGAAGTATCCCCACACCTGTCTTCGTCGCTCCAGGTCTGGGGGCCGCAGCCTGGTGGCAGAGCCCGAGAGAGTGGGAGAGACCATGAGAAAGCTGGCCACTCCCCAGCCAAGTGACCATGGTCCTGTGTCACCCACAGAGCTGGGAGAGGCCACAGGATGTGCCCAAATGAGCCCACAAGTCACCAGAGAGGCCATGATTCTGACTGCGTTCCAGCCGGGGGATGAGCCCAGAACCAGGAGTCCGCAAACCACCACCTTCCCACTCTCACTTGCACACAGTCAGAGGACAAGATAGTGAGAGAGAAGGCCCGAAGGCGGCTGAGCCCTCCAGACCACCTCACTCCTCCTGGCACGGGCCGTGTGTCTGGGTGAGGACTGGGCTGCAGCACCACACTACCTGCAGGGTTTACAGAGAAACTGACCTCAGGGGCGGGGAGGGAGGGGCTCTAAAATGGCTCCTGTCCATTCGACACTGGTGCTTACTCACATCGCCACACCTTAAAAGACCTAACTTCCCAATTCTCTGTGAGACTCTGGGGTGACCCCTCCATGAACCTCTCTCCTGAGTCCACATTTCAACTGAGCAGCTTCTCTGGGCTCCTTCTGACCTGAGTGGACACTCCAAACACCACCTTCTCCCACTGGCTTCTCTACTGAATCCAGTGCCAGGTGTGAGGGGTGTGACCCATGAGAAGCTGAGTTCCTATGTGTGTGCACAGCCATGTGTTTCTCTGGGAAGGGAGTTACGAGTGTCTCTGAGAAGCTGGGATGAAAGCTGGTGTGGAAAGAGCTCGGGTCTAGGAGGTCTAAGCTCTGACTTCCAGTTTTGGAGCAACTACCACCCAGCTGGCTGGCCCTGGGCAAGTTATTTATTTAACTTCTCTGACCTCAGTGTTCCCCATCTGTAAAGTGGGCAGGTTGGACTGAAAGATCTTCAAGGTTCCCTGGAGTGCTCCTTCCCTGATGCAGGACCCAGCTGGGACGGGGTAGGGGCATTGTGGATGGAAGTGGGCCCATGCTACCACCTGGGAGACTGGCAAAGGACACAGAGGGGAACAGCCACACAGACTCACTCCTTCCGGATAAGATGGCTGTCCACAGTGACCAGTCCGAAGTGCACCTCCACAAGGTACTTGAGCACACACAGCTTCCGCCGCAGGTCCCCCTCGCTCTCCGTGTGATCTCCGTTGATGGCAATGAACAGGCATTCTCCAAACTGTAGGAACAGCTGGGTCAAGGTCAGCCAACACTGGACGCTGCCCTTCACCTGCCCTGGCCCTTGGGGAGGGGGTAGTGAGGAGAGCCTTGGATCCCAGGAGATTTTGATGAGATTCAGACACTGTCTTTCAAAGGAATCTAAAGTCCAAGACAAGGAAGCAGCAGGCAGATGGGACAGACCCCAAGTGAAGGGGACAGGCCCCAGGCCAAGGACTCACAAGGTGAAGGACATACAGGTAGTCGTCATTTTCCGTTGAGAAGCAGGTGTATGTGTCTGAGAGCTTCTCCAGCATTGTCATGGAGGAGATGATGACCGGGGCAAGCAGGGTGCTGAGCCTGTCCTCCAAGGCAGGGAGCTGAGAGGAGGAAGACACTGCTCAGAATATGCTGGACATGGGGACAAAGGAAGGGACAAGACCCAGGCTTTGTCATCAAGTGGCCCCAGAGCTTTGGCCCATCTTGGCGTGTAGCACTGTTCTGTTGGAGAAAGTGGTGAAGAGACATTATCTCCAGCACCTTGGGTGGTGGCCAGAAGGGTGGGCCAGCTCACTGTGCTGCCACAGGTGCTGAAAGGAAGCGAAAACATTTAAAAAACTGGACCAGGTTGCCACAGAAAAATGTTAGGGGCATTTAACTGTGCACTGGCGAACATGAAGGAAGTCTGCCATGGTGGTGTCGCGGGTCTATTGTCCTAATTGGCTTTCCTAGGCCATTGCCTTTGACTTTTGCTGCATGGCTGGGCAGGAGCATGCTTATATGGGGACTGGCCAGTTTGGCCATTCTACCAGATTTAAATTGAGCAAGTTCAGCAGCAGAAACTGTGTATCTCATTACCTGCAAGAAAGAAACAGAGAATACTTTGTACTTCTGTTAGGGCCAGAGATTCCTGAACCAGTCAAAGACCTCCACCAGAGCCCCAACAGCTGCAGCAGAGAACCAGAAACTGGGATGAGACAGAGCTGATGTGGGACAGCTGCCCCCCAGAGTCAGAGAGTCAGCGCTAAGGGCCTTTGTCCAAGCTTGATGGAGGACTTGAGGTTGGGAGTGGGTATAGGGGGGAAATGCCATAAATGGCAGGAGTTAAGAGAGCTTGTAACATCAGCCTAAAGCCACAGGCCGAAGGCTAAAAAGCCTTTGAACACACTTAACAAATTGTCCTGACTGAGGAATTGTATCCTGTTGTGAATCTAAGATGTAAGCTGTTAACTTCACCATTGTGAGTAGGGTTTTGTGAGGTCTATGTAGTTATTGCAATGGATTTCAGACCCAGTCAAGTAGGATTGGGGTTAGATTTAGCAGAAGTAGGTTCAGGAGTATGGAGGCCCTGTCTGATGACAAATGAGAATTTGTGCTGTATTGTAGATGTTCTTGATGGGGACAGTTCTCCTTTCAGGAGTTAGAAGAGGTCAGCTACAACTTATACACTCCTTATACAACCATATACACACCAACTGCCTAACATATCTGTTTGTAACTTTTAAGCAAAATGATTCAAGCACAAAGATGTTCACTGCAGTGTAATTTATGATGTAAAACAACTGTAAAAAACCCCCATAAATATCCAGTAGCAGGGAAACAGTTTGGTTAATAACAGTGTAACTGCTTGGTGAGTCAGCAGCCACTTAAAATCTAAGAGTATTTTTTTTTAAATGCAAAATTCCCTGTATACAATATTATGTTCTTTAAAAAATGGCTGTCAATTTTCTGCATTTAAAAATGTACAGAAAAAAAAACCCCAAAATATAGGAGCAATATTAAGAAACTCAGCAGTGTTAAAATGACTGCTTCTGGAGAGAAGTGTTGTGGGTGATCCCCGCCTACCCAACATTTTACATTCTTTTGAATTTTTCTACTTTTCATAATGAGTATGTATCTGTGAGGATACCTTCCCTTTCCCACTCTCTCTCTGGAATCCTAAAGAAGGCCCCAAACAAATAAATAAGACCAGAAGTGGACAAATGTGTTTTAAAACCTGTGAATAAAAATGGGATAAAGCCAGTGGAGTGTTACAATTCAAACTCTCAATACTGAGGTAAGAAAGGAGGGAGACAGCCGACCTTCCCCACACTGATTTCCGGAGCCTCGAATGAATTATGGAGAAAGCAGAGCTCTAACTTGGAGCTCATAAAATCTCCAAGGAGCTGAGTAAGACTTTGTCTGGAGAGGAAAAATAGGCCGTTGGCCAGGGGCAATTTGCAGCATTTAAAATATGGTGGGACAGGGTACTGTGGAGCATATTTTCTTGCCAACGTTCTCATTCAGGAGCCACAGTGTGTGCCCATCGGTCATGGTTTTAACTGTGGCCTTTTCTGACAGTTCACATGGCCGTGCAAGTGCCTCCTGCCTGACCACACTCGGAGTCCTGGCCCATCCAACAGCTGCCGCCATCGCTCCCTCACCTGGGGCCTTTCCTGCCATCTTGTTCATTCCTCGTACGTCTCCCTTCTTGTTTTGTTCACTGTTTTACCCCATACACTGGTGCACAGTTGGTCCTGAATTAATATGTGTCCAGAAAGGCAAAAACAAGTGTTTGTGGAATAATCCACACATTGCAATTTCTTTGAAATGTCATGAACAAATAATAGGAAAGTCTCTTGAAAATCTAGGCTGTATATGACTAACGGGTCTGTTCTGAACAGGGTGAAACCAGATTTCTCTTCAGACGCAAGGATTTTGAAAGACCATCTCACATACTTTGGGCATATTGTCAGGAGGGGTCTGTCCTTGGAGGAGGACATCACGCTTGGAAGAGTGGAGGGTCAGTGCAGGAGAGGAAGACCCTGGATAAGTTGGATTGACCCAGTCAGTGACTGTGGTAATGGGGTCAGGTATGTCAGAGGCAGTGAGGTTGGCTCAGGACAGGGCAGGGTTCAGAGCTGATGTTCATAGGGTCACCGTGAGTCCTAATGGACTCGATGGCACATAATGACAACAGCCTATGGCAACTCATCTGTGCTTACTGCAGGTGAAGCAAGGGCTTTCGGATGGGAAGGGAAGCCTGAAAGCACCTAGTGAAGAAGAGCAGAAAGAGCACCCTAGTCTAACACCTGGTGGATTTATAAAGTGGGACAGTATGTCTGAACAGTTTATGATGCAACATTCCATTGATTATAAAGCAGTGCTGTTATTATGCACCATCGGGTTGGAACCAACTCATAGCTGACCCTCCGGTGGGTTTTCAGAAGCTGTAAACAGCACAGGAGACTGCCCATCTTTCTCCCACAGAAGAAGCGCCTTTGGGTTGACAACACAAGCTCTTACCACTAAGCCAGCAGAGCTCCCTATAAAAGCAATAGTTATAGCAAAGTAAAACCAACATAATCCACACCACATCCATTGCTGTCTAGTCAACTCAAGGTGACCTCAGACACAGCAGAGCTGTCCCACAGGGTTTGCAAAGCTGCTATTTTTCACAGGAGCAGCTCGCCACATCTTTCTCCTGTGGAGCAGCTAGTGGGTTCCAACGGCCAGCCTGCTCAGCGCCAAGTGCTTAACCACTGTGCCAACACACGTGACCAGGCTTAGGGAAACGGCTACAAAGAAATGATGTGCATCTATTCGTATGCTGGAATAGAACGAAGGAATGCTTCCACCGAGAACGGTGCTTCTGGGAATGTTTAACAAAAGAAAAGCCCTTAATAAAATACCAAGTGAGAAAACCAAGAAACAAAACGGTAAATGTGGAATGGTCCCGTCTACCTAGAAAAGCATACAGGTCTGAGGCAAATCTATTAGAAAGCTAACCGCTCTAGAAGGCGGCTCTGGTGGTGAAGGCCACAGGGAGCTGGGCTGGAACCCAAAAGTGCTGCGTAGTTCAAATCCATGAGCCGCTCCAAGGTAGAAAGATGGGCAACTCCAGCACATCTGACGGCCTTCCTGCAGTCTGCTGGAAGGTCAGTTCTGAGTCAACGATAATGGGTTTGAGTTTTTGTTGGGTTTGTTTTTTTTTTTAATAGCTTTAGGTAGTAGAATTATTGATCATTTAAAATCTATTCTTTTTTATATTCAAATTTTTGATAATGAATTCATATTCCCCAAAGTCAGAAAAAGCTGATCATATCAGAGATTGTGAAAATGGAACAGGATAGGGCAAAACTCAGGTCTGCTGTTCGTAGGGTCACCAGGAGTCACAGGCAACTTAATGGCCCTTAACAACAACAACAACAACAACAACGCAACACATACACACATAATGAGTAAGATCTCATTTTCTTTAGACTAGTCATTTGGGAGCTGGAAAATCAGGAAGCTATTCCTTTATCAGGCTTTTATAAAGAGGAAGAGAACAGCCACCCAACAGTTTGCTTCTTAAATCAGTCTCAATGAAATGGCAGTTTTGGAACTAAAATAGCTGAAAATTCTTAATTTGAAAATGAAATATACTGACCATTGAAAATAACAGTCTCTGACAGATATAACGGCTTCCCAGCTAACTAAATCCACTCGAAGGTCTATGATCTCTGACGTCTCGTTTTGCTCCTACAGACTGTGACACTGATGATGGATTCACCTGCTGGAGTGGAGCCGGTTCAGGGACGACTGGGTCCATTCGAGCGAGAAGGGCACCAGAGGCAGCTAGCCACACGGCTGCAGAGAGGCGCGAGCTGCTCTGCTGCATTGCTAATTAAAACATTTTTTAAAAATTCAAGATTGTCATTGTTAGGTGCCATCAAGTCGAGTACAACTCACAGCAACCCTATGAACAGCTGACCCGAATCCTGTTTTTTGGGTTTTTTCCCCCCCTCGAATCCTGTCTTATCCTGAGTTATCCTCACAACCTCTGACCCACTGGAGCCCACTGCTGATGTCACCATGCCATTCACCTTGTTGATGGTCTTCCTCTCCTTTGCTGAGATTAATCTAGAAAAAAACCCCAACACACTGCCTTTGGCTCAATTGCAATTCATATTGACCGTAAAGGACATAGCAGGTCTGCCCTGGCTCTTTACATGGGAGCTCTGGTGGCCTCGTCCATAGGGAGCTGCACTCCTAACCCAAAGGTGGCACCTCTCTGGAGGTTCGAATCCAGCGACAGCTCTGCAGGGGAGAGAGGCAATCTTCTCTAGTGCGATAAACTGCCTCAGACATCCACTGGAGGGTCGGTTAACTGTTGATTCAGACTCGATGGCAGTAAGTTTGAGTTTACTGATTTATTTTTTAGAAGGCAACATCTTTCAGCTGGTAGATCTGAACCACTGACATCTGGTTAGCAGCTGAGAGCTTTAACCACTGCATCACCAGAGAGGTCTTCAAAATAAATTGCTACTTTAAAACACAATGAAGAAATTAGAGAAATGAAAACAACAACTGTCCGGTTTATCAGATTAAAATGGGCTCAGAAAACGCAAGCACCCCCCAAAAAAAGAAAAACCAAAACCAAACCTTAAGACGTGGTTTCTACATCAGACCATATTAAAAAAGTTAAATAAAAATGGATCATGAGAACTAAAACAGAAATGAAACCTAAAAAATCTTTTAGAGGAAAACCTAGAGGAAATTCCTAATGGGTTCATGTTGAGCAAAGATTTGTCAGATATGATGCTAACAACATACATAATCCATAAAAGCAAAACGGATAAACTGGGCTGTACTGTAATTACAATTTTTGATCCCTGAGAGAGACTATGAAAAGAACTCAAAGATAATGCTGCAACCACCGTGGAAGGCGGTGTGGTGCTTTCTCAAAAAGTTGCAAATAGAGATACCATTTGACCCAGCAATTCCACTACTGGGAATATACCCCAAAGAGACCATAACTGCCACCCAAGCAGATAGATGCACATACATGTTTATTGTGGCTTGTTCACAACAGCAAGGAGTTTCAAACAACCCAAGTGCTCAACAAACGAATAGATAGAGAAGCTGTGGTATATTCACACAATGGAATAATGCACTGCATTGAAAAACAAGGAACTCATGCAATATTATTCAAAATAGGTGACCCTGGAGGACATTATGCTGAGTGAAGTATCTCAGTCACAAAAGAATAAATACTGCATAGTGCTGCTGTTGGAAAACGGGACTGACATAGGGGTTGGGGGGAGACTGAGAAAGATGGGATAAATAACGTATACTGCATTGAAACAGATGAGGGAGAAAACTGTTTAAAAGGGATATGTGGTTAGGTATTTTTGTCATGACGGGAATCCAGAACAAAGGCTCCATAGGGGAGTGGACCTGGGGGGAGGGAATGCAAAATAATGAAAGAATTTTTCTTTTACTTTTCAAAGAGAAAAGTATACTGGGGGAAGGGGTGGGCAGGGAGAAAAGTGCAACAATGAATGAATGGAAATCCAAAGTCTCTGTAAATTTTCATTAAAATTAATAATAATTTAAAAAGAAAATAATGCAAAGATAAGCCGAGTACGAAAGGATAATTGGAAAACAATTATCTCATAAGGAACTTGTATCTATCCAGAGTATTTCATAAACTTAAAACTCAACTGCTGTTGTTGTTATTTGCTGTCGAGTTGCTTGCGACTCATAGCGACCCTATTTAAAACAGCCCTGAACCTTGCTCTATCCTGTGCTAATCTCATTGTCTCCGATACACCTACACCCATTACCCCAGTCACTCCATCTCATCAAGGGTCTTCCTCTCCTGCTGTCCCTCCACAAACAAACAAACAAACAAACAAAAAAACCCAAAAAACCAATTAGGTAACAAATGGAGAAAAGCTTTAAAGAGACACTTTTCTGATGGACATGTTGTTATGCATCACTGAGTTAGAATCCGCTCACAGCCGACCCTCTAGGGGGTTTGAAGAGGCAGTAAATCACTCGGGAGGAGGCTGTTCATCTTTCTCTCTCAGAGCGGCTGCTGGATTCAGATTCCATGCTTTTGGGCTGGTTGTGCAATTCCCTACCTCAAAGCACATGAAAAGGTGCTCAAAAATCTCTAGGCACTGCTGTTATCAGGTACCGTCAGGTTGGAACTGACTCACAGCTGGCCCTGCAATGGGTTTGCAAATCACACGCAAGAGCATGTCCATCTTTCATCTGGTGGGTTTCAATCACGTGACTTTGAGTTGGCAGCACAACTGAGCTGCCAGAGCTCCCTCACTGGTCATGAGGGGAATGAAAATGTAAACACAGTGAGATTTTTCTAGACCGTCACTGGGGCTTGCTGTTGAGTTGATTCCGACTCATACTGGAGGAGAGAGCTGCCCCACATTTTCACCTCTATTTTCCTGCTTATTGGCTACAGTAGGTGTAAACGGCCAACTTTTCAGTTCCATTGAGTATCAGCCCACTTCGCCACCACTTTTCACTGCTGTGCAGTTGGAACCGCCTCACAGCTGACCCTCCAGCGGGTCTCAGAGCCTGTAAGCAGCACGGCAGGAGACTGCCTAGCTCTCTCTCAAGAAGTTGCTGGTGGATTCAAACCAACAGGGAGGTGCCCCATCTGCTTCAGCAGTGCAGTTCTCTACAGTCTGCATGACCCCAGCTCCTTAGCAAGCGTATAAGCTCAAGCTCAAGTTCACTGCTGTCAGGTCAGAACTGACACGGAGCTGACTGTCCAGCATCTTTTCAGAGGCTATGAACTGCACCAGAGGAGGCTGCCCATTTCCCCCAGCCCAGAAGCTGACCGATTCAGATGGCCGTCGCTGGGCTGGCAGTGGAACTCCTTTACCCATGAGGCCGCCAGAACTCCCATACAGAAACCTATTGTTAAAACAGCTGAAATAAAATAAATACATAATAGTGTGTCAGGAAAGATGGGGAGAACCGGGATTCTCACACCCCGCTGGTAGAATGTAAAACGATACAATCACTTTGGAAAAGTTTGGCCGTTTCTTAGGCAGACAGACATGTACTAAAATGCATGATCTCTTCCACCCCTAGGAATTTACTCAAGAAAGATCAAAGTGCATGCCCATGGAGTCTGTCCGTGGGTAATTAAATCCAGTTCTTCTTGCCCTTTCATTTAGCCACGTGAGGCTCTCGTGTAGGGCGAGGGTGGGGGAGGGAAGGTGTGGGCTGACTGGAAGCTGTTAGGTGGGAGGTGAGAGGACCTAGGAAGCCCTCAGGCTGGGAGGGAGGGAGGGGTGGCGAACAGGGGCCCTGCCCCCTGGTGTCTGTGCCATCCTCTCTGGCCCACTCTCCTGGCACCACCACCAGCTTGCACTCAACTCACCTCTTCTTCCTCATTCTCTGAGCGCCCAAACTTCAGCCGGAGACTCTCTTCAAACTCCTCATCTGTCCAGTAGAAGAGAACTTCCGCACCCTCAGTGGCCACCAAGATGCACTTCATCTGCCAGGGGGAAGCAAGGTTGCCATCACCTCCCAGACCCATGAACACAAATTTGTTCTGTGTGATGAAGGGTAACGTTGTTGTTGTTGTAAAGTGCCACCGAGTAATAGGCGACTCATAGCGACCCTATGAATGAAAGATCTGGATATATGTTTAACTTTCATCCTTTCTCCAGGTTCATACGGTTTCCGGAGGCAAGCTATAGCCGAGAAAATATTCACAGAGCCTGAGCTGCCCAGGAGGCTCTTGGGGCCTTCCCAGGGTCATCGCACTGACCTCTTAATGAGGTGGGAAGGTGGCATCACGGCTTGACCCATTTGACAGGACACAGACCCAGAGTGAACCTACAGCGCCAGCAGGTCTGATGTCCCGCCTGAAGCTCTTTCCTCTGGGCTACCCTGCCCCTCCTGGAGTAGCATCAGACCCCCTGGATCTCAGCGTGAGGTGGGAGACTGCTGGTGTGGACAGACCAGGGGGGCCATGCTTTCACAGACAGAACACACTGCTCTGGAGCATAGGCAGCTCTGCCCCTCTGCTTTGAGTAAAAGATGTGTGTCTCCCCTTAACAGAAACATCTCAGAAAAGGAGCCTTGACACTCACGACGAGTACACACCCCACTCACAGACATTCCATTCAGCAACTCTTAGAAACAGAGGCTGCTACTTAAGGACCCTGTCCATAACCTTTTCATAATTAAAAAAAATAAATAAAATTAAACAAGCAAAAACCAACCAGAACCAGTGACCATCAAGTGAATATCAACTCAGGGTGACCCATGTGCTTCAAGGGCCTACTGTTCTGCACGGTTTCAAGGCTGTAACCTTCCAGAAGCAGACTGCCGGGCCTTGCTTCCAAGGCACCTCTAGGTGGATTCAAACTGACAACTTTTGGGTTAGCAGCCAAGTCCTCAAACATCTGCACCACCCAAGGACACCTTCATACCAACAGCTTTTCCTTCACACCCACTGGTCTTTAGCCCTTCCAGACCCCCTTCCTGATGACAACCCCCTTGGTGCCACACACTTTAACAAGTGATCACATGCCCTGTGATTATTCACCAAATGGCTCATTTTTAACTCATAGCTGCCCACCCTGCTTCAGCCCTTTAGAGTGCAGCAGGAGACACGATCCTCTAAACCTCGCCCCCCCCAACACCCCAGCCTTACCTCCGCTGTCAGGCCAGGGCTCTGGAGCCAGCTGTCTGCACTGAGAACAGCCTCAGGCAGGGCCTTCAAGCCCTCTTGGGTACTGTCAGGAGAATAGAAGCAGTAGTGTGCATGCAGACATGAGATTAACAGTCAAATAGCTCTGTTCTACTTGTTTCTCAAATGGATGTCCAGTTCCCCCAACACAGTCATGAGCACCTTGAGGGCTTGGACTCGTTCATACTCTCAGGCCTTGATAGTTACTGAACTGGGGCTCTGGCAGCATAGTCTGCAGGGAGCTGTGCTGCTAGTCCAAAGACCATGCTGCTTTAGTGGTTAGAACCCACCAGTGGCTCCTCGGGAGAAAGATGGGCAATCTCCTCCCATGTAATTTACAGTCTTGGAAACCCAATGGAGGGTCAGCTCTGAGTTGGTTCTGCTTGAAGGGCTCTGTAAGTTACTGAATTCCCTCCACTTCTCTGGTTGGTTTATCAACTCTATCTCTGGTTCAAGGTGTTTCTAGATTAATCTGATGAGATGTAGTTCAGCACAAGGAACAAGAATGTAGCCTCCTCCGAAACAAACAAAATCCAAGTGGATCCTAACTCCTTAGGACCCTACAGAACAGAGGAGAATTGCCCAGACGGTTTTCAAGGCTGAGTCTATAGAAGCAGACTGCCACATCTCTCTCCTTTGAAGGGGCGGGTGAGGTCTCATCAATGCCCTTTCAGTTAGCCTGTGTGCTTAACCACTGCATCACAAGGTGCTCCGCGTATTCCCAGGGCTGGGTAAACCCTAAGGCAGAGACTGAGAGTAACAAGGGTATGAAGAGAGTCAGACTGAGGGCATGTGGACCTGGGAGAGGTGGCTTTGAGCCAATGTGGATGTCAAGAGCACCCCAAGGTAAATCCCTGGGTGGTACAAATGGTTAATGCACTCGGCCGCTAACTGGAAGGTTCATGCTCAAGTCCTTCCAGAAGCACCTTGGAAGAAAGGCCTGCCGACCTACTTCCGAGGAATCGGCCACTGAAAGCTCGATGGGACAGTTCTACTCTGGCACAGACAGAATAGACTCAACAGTCTACAAGTGACTCAACCTCAGTAGGACAAAACTGAGGCAGAAAAGGAGGGTATGGGCGGAATCAAGGACTACAGAACTGAGATGAGGGCTGACAGCAGAGATGCCCTGAGGACCCGTGAGCAAAGAAGTGATGTGACAGTCAGCAGTGGGTGTGACTAGGGTTCCCAAGCGTGGGGATGAGGGCGACTCCTCAGTGGAGGCCGGGAGTACGAAGAGGAGGGACTGAGTGTGGTGTAACTCAGAGGCTACACAGGCCTTCAGGACCCTCTGATGAGGAGGATGAAGGCCATGAGGAAAGGTGTCCTCAGGATGCAGAGCTGAGGGCTGGGGTGAGGGCAGGGTGGGTGCATGAACCTGGAGTCCTCAGTCCCTGCCTACTTCATCTGTCTACGACTCCCACAGCCCCACTGTGGTAGGATGACCTACCTTGGCAAGGAGCACAATGGAGCCTCTAACCAGCCAGGTGCTCAGACAGGGCTGCAGGTGACAGATGTGATGACCAGCTCAGGGGATGTGCAGCATCCTTGGTTCTGTGCAGGCTTACAATAGAGGCCTAGCGGGCAAGCTGAGGCTCTCATCCCAGTTCCTCCCGGTTCCTGGCTGTACACAAGCCAGACAGAGCTGTGGGTTGTAAGTTCTCTCTCAGGCAGAACATACACCAGGCCCAGGGCATGTCAGAGGGTACTTTACCAGGTCCAAGGGAGAGCTCACCTTCCATCTTCACCTGGAACTTGAATGTGGTCAGTACCCACCCTTGCACATAGCTCATGACTACATATGTAAGCATCCTGCCCACTCTGCTCCTTTCCCAGTGCTCTCCCTGCATGGTGGGCAACTCAGAGCCAAGATGTAGTCCAGTAGCCCATCTAAGCGTTCTAGGAGACTGTTCTGGCTGCTGGAGAAACAGCAAACTGGATGCCAAGAGTAGACATCCTGGGCGGTAAACTCCTACAGGAAAGGTCCACCGCTCAGGAGTGGAGGGATAGTATCTTTCTCTCAAGATTTACATAGGAGAGTTGGACAACGACTAGGGTGGACAGAAGGAGAATTGATGCCTTTGAGCTGTGGTGCTGGAGAAGAGTACTGAGGGTACCATGGACTGCTAGGAAAACAAACAGATTCATTCTGGAGAGGGTTAAACTGGGTGGCTCCTTGGAGGCAAGGATTCTGAGGCTTTGTCTAATATACTTTGGTCATGTTGTAAGGAGAGACCGGTCCTTGGAGAAGGATATCATGCTTGGGAGAGTGGAGGGCAGGTGCAGGAGGGGAAGGCCCTCTAGGAGTTGGACTGATTCGGTGACTGGGGTAATCCAGATGATTTTGTAGGAGACAATGAGATTGGCACAAGACAGAAGAGTACATAGGGTTGCTATGAGTCCCAAGTGACTCGATGGCACATAACAACAAGGGTGAAGGGACAGCGCAGGAGGGGAAGGCCCTCTATGAGGTGGATTGATTCAGTGACTGGGATAATCGGGATGGGAGTGTCAGAGACAGTGCGATTAGCACAGGACAGAGCAGAGTTTAGGGCTGTTGTACATAGGGTCGCTATGAGTCACAAGCAACTTAACAGCACATAACAACAAGATTTACAGACCAGGAAATCCCATGGCCAGTTCTCTGTTCTCCAGCCTCGCTAATCGTGGGAACAGAATGCCCGGCCGTGGGTGTTCTCAAAGGTTGTATGAATTGAAAACCCTGACCAGTGTCACTTGGCGATTTCCCTAGTCTCCTCTCTGTCCTGCCTAAAAAGAGGACTCGGGACTCACTGGCAAAGGGGACTCCTAATGCTCCTGGGCTAGCGTGGGGCGGGGGGGAGCCCCCAGCGTCCAAGTTTCCTACCGGGACCCCGGTTCGGCCGCGCTCAAGGGCTGCAGGCCCGCACAGGGGCCACAAGTTTGCAGTTCGCACCTGCCCTTCTGTCCAGTTTGCCCGCACACTACAGATTCCGGGGCAACTCGAACAGCGCCCCGCACCTCCTAACTTCACGGAGAGTCCGAGGGGAAGGTCTGGCCGGTGGCCCCCGCTCCACTTGGGAGACGGAAAAACTCTGGTTCGCGGGGGGGACGGGGCGGAGCGGCTGGTCCACGGAAACCAGCAGCTCCGGCAGCTATCTATCGGGGGGGAGCACTCTCGGGGATCCCCTGCGGGCCCTCCTCCCTCACTGAGGGCGGACCCCGCGGGGGTCTGGAGGGAGACCCGAACCCCACAGAGGGGGATGCACGGACCCGCCGGGGTTCACGTACCAGGTACCAGATCGCGGGCGAACAGCACGCAGCCAGCCCGGAGCCCGCGCCCGGGTTCCGGGTTAGACCACGTGACGCGCCACGTGACCCTGGCTCGGGGTGGAGCTGCGAGCCGCTCACCCCGCCTGGCGCCGCCTCCCGGCTGGGCGGCTGTAGCTGCTCTGTACCCCCGCCCCGCTGGCTCTGAATCATCTGAGCATAGGTCCCCTGTTAAGGGGACACCAAGTGGCATAGGATTGGGGCACTCAATCATCAGAGCCACCTGCTCTGTATCCGACACTGTGTCCAGCCTGAAGAAGGCAAGTGCAAGCCCAGTCAGTGTCCCCAACTTGCTAACCCTGGAATTTTGTGGTGGTGGTGGTGGTGGTGGTGGTGGTGGTAGGTGCCCTCTGGTCGACCACCTCTCATAGCGATCTTATGAACCACAGATCCCAGCCCTGTCCTATCTTGTGCCATCCTCTTCATCTCTAACACTTACAGCCCTTGAGCACATTGCTGCAGTCACTGTCCGGATCCATCTCGCTGAG